CAAGGTGGCAGGCTCCGAGTCTGTCTGAAGTATGACTGTTGTGTGACCCCAAGCTTCCAGCACGCCTAGCAGGAAGGACACCTTGTAGTCATCCATCTCCTTGTTCGCGTACAACGTCGCCTGAGCCAAGATCTTACAGTCGATAATATTCAAGACAGAGATCGCTTGGTCTAACTCGGCCTTCGTGACCGACGTCTTCTCCCTGATGCTGAAGTAACCTCCTTTAAGCTTGTACTTCGCAGCCAGCTGGTCCGTCCCTACATAAAAGATGTCGAACACCACCTTCGGGATCTGGTTCTCATCAGCTGGTTCTTGAGCGTAGTGGGGGTCATCGTCTGCTCGAGCCTGCACGCAGATAGGACACCAAGGCCGAAAAGGTAGATGATGCCCTTCGTGCGCGGCCCTCTCCGCAGCACTAGGTTGGTGAGGAGTCTTCAACACTCTCGTTGGCACAGTTGTGGTCTCATCAGCTTCGGGACCTAGAACCTTCGGCAAAGATCCAGCTTCATGTTCAGCTGGTACCTTCCTCGGTAGTGTCTTTCGTACTGCAGCTACCTGTGAAGCTTCTGGTTGAGTCTGGCCGTCGATGATGTGATCGTACTCTAAGTAGTAGTTGCCTTGGTGACGACGTAGAGGTACGAACTCAGCTCCGTCAGGTGGCTCGATGGTACCGTTGATGATCCAGTGACCTGCAGGGCTATGAAGAACACTCTGACCACGTTGTACTACAGCGTCTGTAGCCACAACCGGGTACTCCACATCGGCAACCTCAGCACCGACTTGAATAACCTCTCCTCCTCGGGATAGGTTCAGCTCCACGTGGCCGTACCTCTCGATCTCCTCGCCTCCTATGCCCTTCAAGCCGACAACGTTGCTGTCCGTCGGCGTGTAGTTGTGCTTGGTCACCTGTGACCTCGGTACCGCACTAATCTGCGCACCTGAGTCGAGCATGATCGCATTCCGAAGCGGGGCTAACCGCAATCGGTCATCCGCAGGGCTCTGATCTTCATCCACGGGCCGAAGACCAGCGACGGTAACAGGCCTGGGGCCGGCCAGCGCGGGGCTCACCGCAGCTGGCATATCGCAGCACTTACAGCCGACAGCGACGAATCTAGTCTTTCTTGCGCTTCTTTGGCTTTGGCTTCTTGTTGTCGTCTGGCTCTTCCCCGTCCTTGCAGCTGTCCAGGCAGTACTCGGCGCACACGGCACAGAAGTCCAGCTGCCACTGAGCGTAGTGCCATCGCCATCCTTCAAAGGTCTTCTTGCAAGAGCTGCAGTCATATTGGTAGTAGCCAGGCAAGCAGTACTTCCAGTCGATCGTGTGGTTGCGCTTCTTGTGACCTCTGCCCTCAGGGCCAGAATCATCTTCGCTTGCAGCGCACAGTTGACTGGGCGCAGCACCTGCTGAGTCATCGCGCTGTCGGCGCTGCCCTGACTTCCCAGCATCTGTTGTGTCGGTGCTGCCGAGCTTGTTCCTGTGCCCACTCCTGTCTGTCGTAACCTTTCGAGCTCCTTGACTGCCGCTGCCCCGATCCTCTTCTTTTCTTTTGCCTTCTCTTTTCGGAGCTGCTTCTTGTCCTTCTTGTCCTTCTCGGCTGTCTTCTTCTCGTCGGCGATCCGCTTTCGGCAGTTTGCGCTGCGGTGGCCCTTCTTGTGGCAGTAGTTGCACTCGATCTCGGCGTCGGGATTCGGTGGCTTCTCCTTGCCTTTGCCGTCTTTCCCTTTGCCGCGGCCTTTCCACGGTCTCTTTCCGCCCTTCAGCGCTCCGATCTCCATCGGGTCGTCCTGAACCGCTCGCTCTGCCGTCAACGCCGACACTACCTCGGCTCTCAGAAGCTCGTACGTACTTAACCGACTGCTGTTCCGAAACACGTGTTTCTGCAGCTCGTCGTGATCCTTCAGCGCCTTTGTAAGGATGCCGCGCTTGATCAGGTCCGAGACGGGCTCTCCTGCCATCTTCTGGTACCTCGCCATGTCCTCGTCCAGCTTGCTGATGCTCACCATCACGTCTTCCTTGGCGTCGAACTTCGTGTCCGTGAGCTTGGTCCACATCGCCAGCACGTTGCCTGCCTCGCTCGGGTTGTACTCCTTCTGAAGCTTCCTCCAACACTCGGCTCCTTCTCCTACTGGGCTGTTCCTCACGATCAGCTCGCCTACCGAGTCCTCGGGCATGGCCAGGACCAGGCCGTAGTACAACTGCGTGCTGAGTTCTTCCTCCTGCGGGTCCAGGTTGACGTTGTCCACCTCCTGGGCTCCGTCCTCGCACCTTTCCAGAAGATCTCGGTACCTCCGATCCTGGGCGATCAGGTACGCTCTGTACTGGAAGCTGAACGTCTTCCAGCTCAACCTTTGGCCGTCGAACGGCTTCACCTTGTGAAGGATCTTCGGATCCATCATCTCGCCGCGCGGGGCTACCCGCTGCTGCTGAGCCTGCTGCTGACCTTGAAGCTGTCCTCTCATCTCTGCGATCGCCACGTCCCTGTTCTGAAGCTCCTGCCTCATGTTCTGACTCTCCGTCGTCAGCCTCTGAACTTGATCGACCAGTTGCTGCAGCTGCTGCTCCATCTTGGTCGACGAGCACGTCAATGACACGCTTCTCCAGCCTCTCGATGTCGCTCGCCAGCTGCCTCTTCACCGCTGCTCGCTCCTCCTGAGTGAGCTGCGCCGCGTTGCCGCACGCCGCAAGCTTCCTAAAGGCGCTCCCTCGGTCCTGGCGGTGCTGGCGCGTGTCCGCCGCTCTGCCTCCTCGCTTGTTCGGCTTCTTGACCTTCAGCGTGGCCTTGCCCTTGCCCTTGTTGGCTGGCTGGCCTCCACTGCCAGAGCGCGGGTCTGCCCGCAGCTCTGACCCGCAAGGGGTACTTCGCTCGGCGGCCGCGCGGATCGTCCCGCCGGCTGCTGGACCCGCGGCGCCGCGCCGCTGGGCCCTCTCGAGGGGCTCCTGGAGCTCGCCTGGGTGCGGAGCGGCCCGCGAACCTCAAGCGAGCTCCGCTACCATGCACGCGCACCCACCCCCCCTCGCGGAGAAAGGGGGAGGTGAGGGTCGCTCTTTTTCTCGAGCAACAAAGGGCTGCAGGATTTCCTGGATCCTCCAGGACAGTCTGATTATATTTTCTATAATCACATATATGTGTAAAACTACAAACTTCCTAGCACCTCCTCCTCACTCCTCCTCTTCCTCCTGCTCCTCCTCCTCGAAGCAACCGTTGCTATTTTTGGTTCAAGCCCACTTCGGTGGCGCTTGGTGGTGTTTGCGCTGCGTAACCGCAGCGTCTTTGGATGTGGTCGTGTCCGCGTCATGTGACCGCGGCGCCCTCGGTTGCAGCGTTGTGTTGGCGGAGTGCGAATCGCAAAACCCTCCTCTCATCCCCTCTGCTCCTCTGCTCCTTCTTCCTTCGGCGATGGCGAAAGAAGGCGGTTGCGACTCTGAGACAAAGACGAAGACGACGACATAACGACTGTGGCGACGACGAACGCGGCAACGAACGACGGTGAGCGATGCCGAAGTGGCCGTTCGGAATGGCCCCCACCCTCATTCACTACACCCCCCCTGGTCCCTGGGGGCTTCAGTTCCAGCGTTAGAAATGCTCATACCCAACTCACTACTCACTCCTCACTACTCACTACTCACTACTCGCTACTCACTACTCACTACTCAGTACTCAGTACTCAGTACTCAGTACTCAGTACTCAGTACTCAGTACTCACTACGCACTACGCACTACCCACTACTCACTACTCACTACTCGCCACCCATTATTCACTACCCACTATTCACTACCCACTACTCACTACTCCCTACTCCCTACTCAGTACTCACCACTCGCTACCCGCTACTCACTACTCACTACTCACTACTCGCCACTCACTACTCACTCATCAGTACACACTACTCACTCTTCACCACTCGCTACTCCCCACTCCCTACTCCCTACTCCCTGCTCGCCACTCACTACCCACTACTCACTACCCAATACTCACTACGCATTAACTCACTACTCACTACTCACCACCCCCTACTCCCAACTCCGTACTCCCTACACGAGGGGGGGGGTCCGAACCCCTCCCCCCTTCTTTCCAGCGCCAAGGGGGGGAGGGGGGGGGGGGCGGGCCGGACCACCACCCCTCTTCAAGGGAGAAGGGGGGGTTCGGGGGGTTCGGGACCCCCCCCCCTTAAGGGATGAGGGGGGGGGGGTCCGGACCCCCCCCCCCTTGAAGGGGGGGTGGGGGGGGGCTTCTGGACCCCCCCCCCTTTTACTGTATTCAGGGAGATCCACTGGCGCACTTTCCCCAAGATGCCCCCAATTGGCCCCCGAGATCCCCCCATGCCCCCTAGAGGCACCGACGAGGCCCTAAGAGGTCCCCAGTACTGCCAAGAGACCCCCAAGACGCCCCAAGAGGCCTCCAAACAACTCTCGGATGACATCCGAAGAGACTCCCAGAAGCATCAACAATGCCTTTGGCCTTTCTGCTCGCCCTCCTGCTCCTCCCCTTCTCCTCTTCCTCATCCAGATATTCCTCCTCCTGCTTCCTCCTCCCCTTCTCTTCCCCCTCTCCCTACTCCTTCTCATACTCCTGCTCCTCTTCTGGTTCCTCCTGAATCCTCCCCACTTTGGGGAATGAAGAATGACGCCGTGCCCAACCTTGATTGCACTGCCTGCTTCTCCATATCCGCGATCTGGGCAACTCGTCTGGGCATAGATTCTGGATGGGCTGGTAAGAGTACGCGAAGGGTCTAGAATACGGTGTAGAATGCAAAGCGAGGGCCGAAACAGGCTGCGCGCTATCGGCGGAACCGAACGAGGAATACATACGCTTGGGCTAACACACGTCCCGAGGATTATGGACCAACACCACATGGGATCGGGATCGAGTCGAGTTGGGTCCCGACCACGACGGCGCAACGACGACGACGACGCAACGACAACGACGAGGTCCACGACGACGACGACGTCCACGACGACGACGACGACGACGACGAACCCGCCCCCGGCGGGGCGGACTTGTTGCGATCGTAGGTGGGGTTCACCTCTGCGGCCGTCAGCGCGGGGCGGCACCCCGCCCGCGAGGGAGGGGAGAAAGCGGGCCCCGGAAGCAGCCCGGAGGGCCGGGAAGCAGTCCTCTGGACCTGTGAAGGCTGCCAGGGCTGCTTGAAACCTCAACATATATAGAGAGAGAGATCACATCTGTACATCGGTACTCTGCAAAGACGAAACCAAAACAAGAACGACATCGGACCCGGATGACCAGAGGTCTCTGAGATCCAGCGGTTCTGCAGGATGTGCCGGGCGCCGAGCCCTTCCCAGAGCATTCCGGAGCGCTCCGAGAGCGTTCTCGAACGGTCTGGAGAACTCGATCATGGTCCTAGTCCCGCCCGATCTGTCCCTCTTCGATCCGATGTGTAGATCTCGGTGTCTCCTCCAAATCGGGAAGCACTTCACCCGATGAGCGCGCGTCGCGGAGATCCACTTGAGGCAAGCAGCCCTGGACAGTGCTTACCGAGGGAACTAATGTCTACGTCTGGCGGGATTCCTGACAGAGAGACAGAGGAACACAATTTGTGGGCAATGGAATACGCTGCTTCAGACGGGATGGCCTCGAACCCCCAATTGACGAGCCACTTCTTGAAGCTGCCATCGTTCCTGCACCCGTCAGGGTTCGAGTATGACGACACAACGGCAAAACCACATTCGTATACGTTTCTTTGGCATTTTCCTTCTGGCACCACCCCGCTCATAGGAAACACTGACTCGATGGCCCATGCGTTCGTTGCACTGTGTCCCTGCACCGTCGCCGTGTCGTGCTTCACGGGCTCTAGAATGCACTCGCAACCTTGACATTCGGCCAAGCGTCTGCGCACGTGTCCAAGCCTGCGCTGCGAGACTGGCCAGGGAGACAGAACACTCTTGCTGCTCGTCCCGTGGCCAATGGAGGAACTTCTTGTTCGGATTGTACTGCGAATTCGGGGCATTGCGGACGACGTGATTGAACCTCTGTGGACCGAAACATTGCATCAACCCGACAACCACTGCTGCTACTTCCATCACCCCTCTCACTGCATTCCGTGTACCAGCTCTATCCTTCCTCACTCCCTCCCCCTCCTCATGTCATGTCTCTCCCTCAACCTCCCTCCCTCCATCTCTTCATCGACCCTCCCTCCATCCCTCCTCATCTCCCCCCGTCCGCCCATCTCCCCACTAACCCACCCTATCACGTTCCCCATCCCTGTCCTTTCTTTATCCTTCTCTTTGATCCCTCCTCAATCCTCACCTTCTCATCCTCTTTCCTCTAGCTTCCCTCCGTCATCATCCCGCCTCCGTCCTGACTCCCTGTCTCTCTCTCTCTCTCTCGCCACTCTCCCCTCCGCCCTAGACTGGAGGCGAGGATCGGACGGGATGGGGAGGGCTGAGGGGGGGGAGAAGGGAGGAGGATGCAGAAGAAGCTAGGAGTATGACGCGGAAAACGGATGGGCACGAGGCTCTGCAGCCCCCGTCCATCAATCACTCCCCTCCTTCCTCCCTGCTTCCCCCAGGCCCCCGACGGAGCTTTTTGGGTCACAACGCCACAGGTGTCCCCCCCGCCCCAGGGATGGCCCGCCACAGGTCGAAAAACGCTGTTTGGTTGAATGTTGACCTCCAACTTCTCAGGAATAGGAGCAGGGCCCCGCAGTTGCGGACAAGAGCAAGGGGCGGGGGGTGGTCGCTGGCGTTTTGGACATGTCCACAATCCCGTTGCAGGCGTTGACTGTTTGGGTTTTTGGATTTCGCTTCAGCCGAAAGTTTGTCCACCTGCAAACTATACATAACAGAAACATGTCTAATGTCTCTGCTGGGGAGGCTCTCCTCTCCCTGAAGGGTGACGCTGGCTCTGGCGCGACTCTTGCGCACGCCCTGCCAGCTCGAAACTGCTGAGGGTCCGACTCGGAACGACTCCCACTTCGAATTGATCCCTCCTCCACCTTCCTCCCCCTCCCCCGCGAATAGGCGACCTGAGCGCACATTTGGCGCGCCGCCTCCAGAGGAGCGTCGGGGGTGGCATCCTAGAAGAAGAATCGACGCCCAGTCTCTTGAGTCTATCCCGGGGACCGAAGAGGCGGCAACGCACTTGCACTAAAATGCCCGGCCGCAGTTGCACTAAAGTGTGCGGCCTCACTTGTAACTTGTACTAAAGTGTCCGGCCTTACTTGCCTGCTTTGAAAGACTGTTCTCCTAAGCAGTGGCGGAAAATGTGCTGCAGATGCGACTGGGAGTAACACTTCAGGGAGATCGCAAATTGTTCTCCTAAGCAGTGGCGGAAAATGTGCTGTACGTGGTAACGAGACTGCTACGCTAGTCTGGTGCGTCATCCCTTATCTGCCTACCCATTGGGTTCCCGACCACACCATCTCCTGTCTGCCTAGGAGCTCTCAAAAAAAACTGCTCAGAGGGAGCAGTTCGTCCAGCACCTTAGCCTCTCCTTTAGAGGGATCGGGGTGCTTTCTCTGGAACATCCTATCCCAGTTGGACTTGTTATGTGGGCTGGTGAACCTCTCTTTGCAAGGCTCCATTAGTCCTACCGCTCGCCGGCCCTGGCAGAGACATCCGCAAGAGGAGCACACAAATATGAGGTGGTCCTCATCGTAACTGGCTATATAGATTCTGTGACCGTTCGGTCCCCTCATACCATGTATTGACACCCCCCTGTCTGGTGCCCATTGTTTTTCAACTTGATTGTCCCGCTCAGCTCTGGCACCACTCGTTCCACGGAGGGCCTTCGAGCTCAGAATGTGCCCCCGACTACGACAACGACAACGACCGCCGGAGACTTCCTCACAATTTCTCGCCATCGCTCGGACGTCCTCTCCCCGTGCATGTTCTGGTTTCGTGCGTATATTGCTTCGCAAGGTTACCCAACATGATCTTCGATGGTCCTCGCTGAAGCAAAAAATGCACACGTCCGAGCGATGCCCAGCTTTCTTCAGGAGGCGCGCTCTCACTCGATCGAGAACTCCCTGCATGTTGCGCGAGAGCCGCGCTCCTGACACAGACCTCGTCCGAATCTGCTTCAGAGATTCGCGCTCTCGCCGCTCATGCCACTCAGGAATCTCGTGAATTGGCCTCGGACTACGACCTAACACCTAACATGTTCAGGCATCGCGCTCTGGCCCAACAGGAATGTAAGACGACGCCAGGACGAGGATAAAATCAAGTGAGGATAAATCGAAAATCTCTGAGATCCGGCGGTCCTCGAGGATGTTTCGGGCGCCGCGGACTTCTCCGAGCGTTCCAGAGCGCTAGGAGAGCGTTCCAGAACGCTCCGGAACGGATTCATCCTCGTCCTAGCCCCGCCCGAACTCAGGCATTGCACTTTCGCCCAGGACGTCCTCACAGTTTCAATGTACCTGAGACTCGCGCTCTAGCGCGAGCCCTCACGAACTACTTTGGAATCGTGCTACATTGTCCCGCCCGCTCATCGGGTCGGGCTAAAGGGGGGGATAGCAAAGGGGGGGGGTGAGAATCAGCTCACGTAGCTGATTTTCTTGGCGCCTCCCGGCGCTGGAGGCGACCGTGTATCGAGGAATGGGCACCTCGGAGGCGCCGAAACCAGCTGCATGCAGCAAGTTTCGCACCCCCCCCCTTTCCCAACCCCCCCCTTTCGTCCGGCCCGAGCCCAGCCCGAGGAGGACGAGGAGGACGAGGAGGACGAGGAGGACGAGGGCGACGAGGAGGACGAGGAGGACGAGGAGGAGGGAGGAGGGAGGAGGGAGGAGGGAGGAAGAGGCGGAGGGGGAGGAGGCCCGCAAAGAATGCAGATTGAGCGAGCGGGGGGCAGTGAAGAAGGGACGATACCAACAAGTCAGTGTTGTTTTGGATGTGGGGCTCTTTCTGGGCATGAGAAGCGAGTCCCGAAGGACACGGGTCCTGGACCCCAGGGCCTTCCCAACACCAACTCTTCGCCCTGCGTCGTTTCCAACAGTCCTGGGGCCCGTGGAGGGCCAAGGAAGGCCAAACAACCATGTGGATTAGTTAGAAGAAACAGGTTGCCCAACGTGGACCCCAAAACAGCTAGATATTGAACTGTTAGAGGTGAGAGGTAGGCGCAGCACGCTATGTCGTGCTGGCTCTGTCCTGTAAGCTGTGCGTAGTGAGCGCTTCGTGGTGTGAGCTATGTGGCGGCAGCTATGCTGTACAAGCCACGTGGCGTGAGCCCGCTTGGCCATGTGCGGAGGGACCGCTGTGGTGTGAGCTGTGTGAGGCATGCGATGCGAACTGCTACAGCCAAAAATCCAAGTTATCCCGGCAAAGCAACCTAACAGCAGTGGCCTTTGAGCACGAAGTGGCCTACAGTTGGCTCCGGGCATTGAACATGTGGCCCTGGAATGGAGTTCTGGCGATTCGAAGAGCACGAAGTGGCCTACAGTTGGCTCCGGCCACTCAAAATGTAGCCCGGGAATGGAGTTCTGGGAGGTCGAAGAGCACGAAGTGTGTGACTGTTGACGAAAAACGAGCCCGGCTCTGTCCCGGTTCTCCAGAAAGTGGCCCGGGAATGGAGTTCTGGGAGGTCGAAGAGCACGAAGTGTGTGACTGTTGGCGAAAAGCAAACCCGGCTCTGTTCCCGGTTCTCCAGAATGTGTCCCGGGAGTGGAGTTCTGGGAGGTCGAAGAGCACGAAGTGTGTGACTGTTGGCGAAAAACGATTCCCGGTTCTCCTCCCCGGCACCCGCCCAGACCCCCCTGTGGAGTCCAGATGCTCTCTTTTGAGACCACTAGAAACCTATCAGCAAAAGCTGTTAGGTAATAAAGGACGCGCGGTAAGGACGCAAGACCCTTGGAAGCCGAAGTTGGGATGTTTGGGGCGGCGGACGACGAAAACCTCAAGGACGCAAGAGCAAGGAAGAGCGAGGGCGCAAGGGTACCCTGAGCAAAGTCGCGCGTCCTTATTCGGGTTTTTGACTGTATGCTGTGTAAGCGACATGCCATCCCCGCCCCCGGGCACCGAGCGCCCCCGAGCCGCCCCCGGGCGGGCACCCGGCGAAACCTCGGCAGACCCGTCCAGGCAGGGCCCGGGGCGCCCGCGAGCGCCCACGGGGCGCCCACGGCGCGGGCCGCGCGGCGCCCGCGCGGCGAGCGCCTCCTTCGGACCCACCCGCGAGGCGCCCCACGAGGCGCCCTCGGCGAGCCCGAGCGCCCACCAAGCGCCCACGAGGCGCCCACGGGGAGAGTTCCCGGGGGGCCCGCCTGCAGCCGGCCCGTATCATAAAGGATGCGCGATGAGGATGCAAGGGCCCTGGAGCCTCGGGGGGGCCATTTCGAAGCTTTTCGGGCGGGGCGCGGCCAGCGGAAGTGGGCAAGGATGGACCGAGGAGGCAAGGATGCAAGGGCACCAAGCAATCCGCTCCTGATGATGCGGGCTGAGTGTACTCATCTGCGTACGACACGTAAGTAGGGGAACGAAGAATGGCATAAACATAAAAACTCGGAGGTCCGCGCGGACTTCTCGGATCGGCGCTGGACCCCCCTCCCTGGCGCGCGGAGCGCGCCAGGGGCGGCGCCAGAAGCGCCGCCAGGGTGGTCCAGCGCGGATCCGAGAAACCCGCGCGGACCTCAGAGTTTGTATGTTTATGTCATTCTTCGTTCCCCTAGTAAGAGCCCCGAAGCACAGGCACTGCCTGCCGAACTACAGCAGGCGCTCCTCGCGGAGAGGAGCTGCCCAGCTGCGGGGGCGGGGGGGTGGCCCGCTTGTGCTGGGACGCCGCCCGCAGGCAGGGGCCCGCGGAGGGAGGGAGGCCAGGGAGCGACGAAAAGCAGCTCCTCCTCCTCCTCCTCCTCCTCCTCCTCCTCCTCCTCCTCCTCCTCTCCTCCTCCTCCTCTCCTCCTCCTCCCCCTCCCCTCCTCCATCCTCCTCCTCCTCCTCCTCCTCCTCCTCCTCCTCCTCCTCCCCCTCCTCCTCCTCCTCCTCCTCCTCCTCCTCCTCCTCCTTTCATTCATTCATTCATTCATTCAAGGGCCGTTGGGAGATCAGCCAAACTAGGCTCGCCTGACCTCACAGCAAAACAGACGAGACGGGGCCACGGCCGCTCTTGCGCCAGGCCCCTCACCCACGAAGCCCAGTCCTGGGGCATTGCAGAGGGCTCAAGGGGCTCGAGGGGTAATCCGCAGGCCGCCCCCGAAGGGCGCCCCACCCCCGCCCAACGATCCCCCAAGCGCCCAGGCGAGCAGGGCGAGGGAGGGGTGCGGGCAGGGGGGGGGCATGGCCAAAACGAAAATGAGGCAACAGGTCACCTCATCCACAAAATACAAAATCAAAAATCAGAGCCTTCGACCACCCACACAAGGACGGCACGGCCTGCCACCCCAGGTGCAGCCAGCGCCAGGACGGTTGCAGGCCATGCCCCAGATGTGGGGTAGCGCACGGATGCCTGCCCCGCGGGTCAGTCGCATCGGGCCGTACGCACAAGGCTGGCTAACAAGATGCCCAGAACCCAGAGATGCAGAGGGCTCCAAGGGCTCAAGGGTAATCCGCAGGCCATATCCCTGCCGCGCGACCTTGCGAGGGCAGCTTACACGCCAGTGTCGGCGCAGACGACTCTATTTCCCAACCATCCTGTCGTGTTGGGTCCTCGTTTTGAAGAGACAGCGCCCGCGTCCTCCTTCCTTCTCCTCCCGCTGCCCCCCCTCCCTCTCCCCATCATCAGCATCATCGTCACCATCATCACCATCACCCATCATCCTATTTCCCAACCATCCTGTTGTGTTGGTTCCTCGTTTTGAAAAGACGGTGCCCCGCGTTCTCCTCCTCCTCCTCCTCCTCCTCCTCCCTCCCTCCTCCCCCTCCTTACCTTTGCTCTCCGCATGTCTCTGTTTCGGTACACCCCTCACACGTTTCGTGGCCCCATAGGGAGCTCCACCGAAGGCCCCAGTGCCACCGCCCGTATGGCGCCGCCGCCCCATTTTGGCACACCCCTCACACGTTTCGTGGCCCCATAAGGATCTTCACCTAAGATCCCAATGGCGCAGTTCGCATGGCGCCGCCGCCCCATTTTGGTACACCCCTTACACGTTTCGCGGCCCCATAGGGAGCTCCACCGAAGGTCACAGTGCCACCGCCCGCATGGCGCCGCCGCCTCACTTGGCACACCCCTTACACGTTTCGTGGCCCCATAGGGAGCTGAATCTAAGGTCCAAGTGGCACCGCCCGCATGGCGCCGCCGACCCATTTCGGTACACCCCTCACACGCTTCGTGGCCCCATAGGGAGCTCCATCTAAGGTTCAAGTGGCATCGCCCGCATGGCGTCGCCGCCCCATTTTGGTACACCCCACACACGTTTCGTGGCCCCACAGGGGGCCCCATCTAAGGTCCCAATGGCGCAGCCCGCATGGCGCCACCGCCCCATTTTGGCACACCCCTCACACGTTTCGTGGCCCCATAGGGAGCTCCATCTAAGGTCCCAGTGGCGCAGCCCGCATGGCGCCGCTGCCCCATTTTGGCACACCCCTCACGCATTTCGTGGCCCCATGAAGAGCTCCACCTAAGGTCCCGGTGGTGCAGCTCGCATGGCGTCGCCGCCCCATTGTGGCACACCCCTTACACGTTTCGTGGCCCCATAGGGAGCTCCACCTAAGATCCCAGTGGCGCAGTTCGCATGGCGCCGTCGCCCAATTTTGGCACACCCCTCACACGGCTCGGCCCCCACGCGGTTCGTGGTCCTACAGGGAGCGCGAAAGAGGGATTTATAATTGCGGTATTTACAATTGCATATGGTTGGGTCCTTTGCCAGGATATTTTTTCTGCGTCGCTCAGGGGGCCCACGGGGGGGATTACAGCTGCTCCCCGGACCTCTCCCAGTGCGTTATGACCGGACCAGAATGCCGAAGCGAATCCACCGGCGGCGACGAGGGCCGCCCAGGGGGCTCAATAAACGGGACAACCAGGGACAGGTAGTGGCACGGGTACCTTTCCCTCCTCTGGGGGTGGGGGGAGGAGGAAGGTCGGAAACTGGAACGTATACATTACCAGTGGCGGGCTGTTGCTCAATCCCAGAACTTTTTGAGGGTCGGGGACGACGTCGGGGTGGTGTGGTGTATACCTGTTTCCCCGTTTTCCCGTGGAAGCAACAACAAATGTATACACCAAAAGGCCGTATACACCATAACCCGTTTTCTTGTGCGAATGCGGGACCGGAACAAAGCATCGATGTGTATAAAGTTCGGCTCCCGAGCCCCCGGGAGGGGGGGGGGCCTCACGGCGAAGTGCGAGGACACGATCTGCATCTCCTTGGACCCGTCCTGGGGGGGGGGTCGGCCGGCGGCGGCCCGCGCGGAGACTTCTCTCGGCCACGCGGCCCGGCCCGTGCCCCGTGGCGAGCCAATCTCTCGGGCGCTCGCTGGGCCAATGCGCGCGAGGTGAGGAAGCGACGACGACGACGACGACGACGACGACGGCGACGACGACGACGACGGCGGCGGCGAAGACGACGACGACGACTTCAAGGAGCGGCCCAAAAACCAGAAAGCGGTCCCTGGCTCCGCGCCTTGACTGCACGATGCCCCGTGCCGTATGTTCCCCCCTTGGTGCACCCTTTCGGTCCAGCGGCGGCAGCTTGATTAGGGGTCGTTGTGTGTACACGTCGGTCGGAAGAAGTAGGTAAAAACATGAAGTAGGAAGGCGGATCAAGTTGATCGGATCCAGGCCCCCCCAGAGAACAACAAAACACAGCAAAGGCGTGCCGATTTTTGAAGTTGGAAGACGCTTGAAGTAGATTGGGATCTGGGAATCCAAGAATACCTACTTTCAACGACCGGCGTCTACATGAGAGAGAGAGAACACACATTCTGCAGCCCTCGCTCCCGTCCAGTCACGAGCGAGGACGGGAGGCCTCGCTCGTCGCGCGACCCTCCCTCCTCCCTCCTCCTCTTCCTCCTCCTCCTCCTCCTCCTGTCCCTCCTCTCTCTTCCTCCCTAGTCCTCCTCCTCCTCCTCCTTCCTCCTCTTCCTCCTCCCTCCTCCCTCCTCCCTCCTCCTCCCCTCCCTTCGTGCGCCCCCTCCCCTCCCCCGCGCATCACCACCAAGATGCACCATGCACCTTGCAGGGCGGCTCCCGTCAACTAAGGCGCCACTGCCCACATGTTCTGCACGTGCCCACGGGCTTCCGCAGCCTGCGGCTTGACCTGACCTTGCTGCAATCATCGATCCCCCCTGGCGGATTTCTTCGACCTGCGCTGCATGCGCCGGAACAGCCGCCAGGGGGGGCCCAACGCCGATCCAAGACATCCGCGCGGAACTGCTAAAACTCGGGTATTCTGCAGTTTCCTGTTCTTCAAACAAATCCTCGATGTCCACGCGTTGATTGCCTCTGGACCCCTTCTGGGGTACAATTTTTCACCCTGGATCCGATGTTGACTGTCCTGGGGCCCGAAAACGGCGCCCAAAAACCGAAAAGGGCATCTAAAAGCTTCTGGAACCAAAGACCTCGAACCTCGTCCCCCGTTCCTGCTGGCCGGAACCGAGGTGCTGGTACACCAAGGTGATGGGGCCACGAAGTGCGGGCGAACGCAAACGCGGCCACTGGGGCCTTCCGCGGGGCTCCCGATGGATCTACGAAACGCTTTTCTTGGTGGGGGAGACGCATGCGAACGCGACCACTGGGGCCTTCGGTGGAGCTCTCTATGGGACCACGAAGCGCTGTACTGGGTGGCGCGGACGCATGCGAACGCTGCCATGAGGGCCTTCGGTGGAGCACCCCACGGGGCCACGAAGCGCTGTTCTGGATGACGCGGACGGATGCGAACGCGGCCACTTGGACCTCCGATGGAGCTCCCTATGGGGCAGCGGAGATCTCTACTGGGCGGCGCGGGCGCCTGCGAACGCGGCCACAGGGGCCATCGGAGGAGCCCCCGATGGAGCCACGAAGCGCTGTACTGGGCGGGGGGGACGCATGCGAACGTGGAAACTGGGACCTTCGGTGGACTCCCTATGGGGCCACCACGAACGCGAGCTCTGGGGCCTTCGGTGGGGCTCCCCCCTATGATGCCACGAAGTGCTGTACGGGGGCAGGGGAAACACATGCGGCCGCGGCCGCTGGGGCCTTCGGTGGAGCTCCCTGGTGGGGGCACGAGAACGTGAGAGGGGCGGGCCGGCACAGAGACATGCGGGAAGAAGGGGAGGGCAGCGGGTGGGGAGGAGACGCGGGGCGATGTCTCTGCAAAACGAGGACGGAGCACCACAGGATGGCTAAGACTACTTTACGAATGGCCGTCGGCCGATCCCGCCGGACCAACGGAAAAGACATGATGCACATTCCGTCGCCTCCCGGAGACTCGTCCCCACGATGGTCTCCCGAACGGCCAAGATGGCCCCCAAGACGCCTCAACGACAGACCCCAAGGCAGCACAAGCTCTACCCAAGAGGCCCCCAAGACACTCAAGATGATTCCAAAAGGACACCCAGGATGCCCACATCATGGATTGTCCGGGGTTGTTCCATGAGTTCATGTTCTCACGTTTCCAAATTTCCGACGATCCAAGACGGCCCAAGAAGTCACCCCGAAAGATCCGAGACGGCCCAAGAGGCTCATAAGACGGCGGCCCCACAGACATCCAAGACAATCCTAAAGAGCGCGATGAGGGGCCCATGACTGCCTAGAGAGGAAACCAATGGATTTCCAAAGCATTCCTATAGATGTCCTAAAGCATTATATGGCTTTCCGAAGGCATCCGATTGATTTCCAAAGGGAGCCGGTGCATGTCCTAAGGAGTCCTATGGATGTCCTACAGGACCCGATGGATGTCTTAAGGAATCCTATGAACGTCCTAAGGAATCCGATGAATTGCTGAAAGACTCCGATTGGTTTCGGTAGGAGTCATATGGATATCCTATGGAAGCATTGGGAAACCATCGGATTCTGTAGGAAATCCACAGGCTTGGAAATCCATGACTCCTGGGGACATCTACAATATTCCTGAGGACATCCACAGGATCCTTTAGGAAATCCATGGGATCCCTGAGAACATCCATCAGATTCCTTAGAACATCCATAGCATTCCCAATCGATCAGATTCCTTGGGACAGAATCCCTGAGGAAATCCATGGAACTCCTTAGGACATCCATAGGATTCCAGATAAACCATCTATCATCATATTTTTAGGGCATCCACATGATCCGTGAGGAAATCCATCGGATTCCTCAGGGCATCCATTGGTCTCCGGAGGAAATCCATACAAACCCTTAGGGTATCCATAAGATTCCATGGGACATCCACAGGATTCATTTGAACACCAACATGAATCCTTAGGAATCCCCCCTACTCAACATAATAATAGAGCAACTTCGATTCGCAACTTTCCCCGGCGATAATACAGTTCGGCCTTGCCGCCTCTCTTCCCTAACCAAACCTGTATTGGCCCAGGATAATCACCTCTCAGTCGTTAAGGGGCGAGGATAACTTTGATAATCGGAGGCACGGGGTTACCAAGCATCTAGCAACTCTGGGGCGGGGGGGGGGAGTCCGGGAAGGTTTGGGGGCCCTGGGCACCCGATGCCCAGGCATATGATGTGTATAAAATAAAGAAAAACATACATATACATACACATGTATGTATGTACCCGTACATATGCTTCTGTGTGAATATGTACGTTTGTGTAGATATGTGCTTTCCACATGTCATACTGAGGGGGGGCGCGCCTGAAGATGGGTTCCGCGGTGCGGATTGCTGCCGCATTGTCGTTGCCTGTAGTTGCTCGTGCCGTCGACCCCCCTCGCGACCCGGCCCGCGACCCACCCGCGACCCCACCGCGACGCACCAACGACACACCCGTGACCCACCCCACAACCCACCCGCGACCCAACCCACGACCCACCCCGCGCCCGCCCCCTCACTCTCATCCGCAATTGCGGAGTGCTACAAGCGTACTTGCAAGGTCTTACCAGCCTCGAACGTATCCCTATCCCTAAGATTGACACGCCCAAAGGCGATGACAATCTTAGGGATTCGCCCTCAAAAAATAAGGGAATCCCTAAGATTGGCATCGTGATGAGGAGGTGCCCAGCATAGGGATAGGGATATGTTCCAGGCTGGTAAAGGTCTGGGGAAGGATGGATGGTAATGGGAGTGGTAATGGTGCATGGGCCAGGGGCCCCGCAAGCGGGGGGACAGGCCCCCCGCCCACCCTTCAGGCGACCCGGGCCGGGACCTCCCTGCGCGCGGCCCGACAACCAATGAGCATGCACCGCGGTGGGGAGGGCGGGCACACGGAAGCTCCATCGCTCACGGAGTGAGGACCTCAGGAATGCTCGTTGGACTGACTGCTCGTGTGGTGAGAGGCCCCTCGAGACCCTGACCGCCCCACCGCGAGCGCCACCACCACCACGAAGGGTCCATGGAGGAAGAGGGGAAGCACCCCGCGAAGCACGAGGCGGGGAAGAGGGGGAGGCCGAGAGGGGTCGGAGAGCTGGAGGGGGACGAGGGTTATGGACGAGGAGGACGGCTGCAGAGCAGGAGTAGGAGCGGACGTGGAGAAGGGGGGTGATACTTTACAACTTTGGGCAAAACGCCACCCTATAGGTGTCCAAGAGGGCTCCAAGAAGGCCCCAGGAGCGCCCCAAGAGGGCACCGATAGAGCCCCAAGACGGCCCGAGAGGCAGGGTTTAAGGCTTAGGGTGTAGGGTTTAGGCCAGATCCGAACTGTTGCTTCTCACGGCGGACGACCGGCAACGCGAGTCAAAGCCTCGCCATGGCACGCAGAACGCGTCCATACTCCACAGTGCCCGGCCAGCGTCATTCTGCGCCCTGGCATGCTGTGTACATACTGGCCGATGTCGTGAGGGTCCATGCGCCACCCTGGGGCTGAGAATGGCCGTGGGCAGACACGGTGGTGGCGCACGGATAATCTGCGGCCACAAGTAACCTTAAATAAGCTCCTTCTTGGCCGCAGTTGCGCCAACACGCATGAGAAACGTCAGGGGGAAAACACTTTGATGTTACGCCCGACGTCTTGACGTGACGCCCAACTAACCAGCAAACTCGGGGCAACGCACCCATACAATGCCTACAGAACACGAACTGATGCAATGAAGCAGTCCATGAAACTTTCAAGTGGATAACGGACAGAAAGCTGCGATGATCTTGCGACAATGCTGATCTGACGACTGAATACATGTGCGCCTGATCGTACGACAAAGCTACGTTTGGACTTCATGCTGACCTCTCTTTGGAATATCAGGTGAGAATATCCAGTAGAGAAACAGACAGAAAATATTGGGTTGCGGTTGGCCCACGTTAAACAATTGGAAAAAAAGCCCGTCGCCCCGTGAAGTGCTAGTCGGAAATTGCTGAACGTAGACGGGGTATGGAAATCCCAAAGACCTGTGCACTTCCATCGAACGGCCTGCAAGTGATCCTATGGCAGAGGAGCCAAAGCATGACCAGATGTGCAACAACTTAATGTGCGCACTCGCCCACACACTACTCTGGGCGGGATATGAATCGAGGGGCGGGCGACTCACCTCCGACGGAGCTTGCCCTTCTCCCCTCCTCCACCACCTCCTCGTCCTCCTCCTCCTCCTGCCCATCCTCCCCCCCCTCCTCCTCCTCCTGCTCCTCCAGCCCCCCTTCACCCGTTCCGACAGCACGTGTCCACCCCCCCCCGCGGATCCAAGGGGGGGGCCATGATTGCCCCATCCAGAATAAGTTTCGCTGTGATGCGCAGGTCTGGTCGTCTGCCAGACAAAGTCTTGGAACGGAGTGGCCCTGGACCCTGGCCGTCAGGCAGCCGCATCGTCGTCGGACGGCCCGCAGACCAAGGAAGGGCCCTGGGGAGGCCGACCACGGCGAAAAGCAACATTAGCCACACGTGAACCCGATCCCCACCTCCCACGATTTCTGAGGGGGGGTGGGGGTTGAAACCCGCTCGGGAGCTCCCGAACGGAGTGAACCCCCACCCTGTCCCCTGTCCCTCCGCAGACACGCATCTTCACATGAAGCACTTGAAGAACCAGCTGGCCCTGGGCCAGCTGGCCGCAGCGTGCCCGACGCGGCCGAGAGGGGTGAGCGGTCCGAGAGGAAGTCGACGACCTCCACGACCAGCGAGTTCTCGCCGACCTCCTTGCGCCGAGCCGATGGATCACTTGCGGGAGCGAGTGCCACATCGGAGCGTGTTGCACCCCGAAACAGAACGATATGACAGACAGTCCGATGCGAAACGGCTCGAGGGCCATGCGGCTCTGGCCATCCCAGGGCCGACCACGCTGGCAAAGGGGAGGGCATGATCAAAAGGCGAACATTCCTGAACGGTAGGCTGGTATTACGAATACAGCACCACCGTTAACCCGATGTTGCATAACGCGATGTCACATATCGCCAACTCCACCGATGTCCTCGTTTCTCTTCGTCCTCCTCCTCCTCCAACTCCTCCTCCTCCTCCTCCTCCTCCTCCTCCTCCTCCTCCAACTCCTCCAACTCCTCCTCCTCCTCTCCTCCTCCTCCTCCTCCTCCTCCTCTCCTCCTCCTCCTCCTCCTCCTCCTCCTCTCCTCCTCCTCCTCCCTCCTCCTCCTCCTCCTCCTCCTCCTCCTCCTCCTCCTCCTCCTCCCTCTGGCGGTTCACACGCCCGCTGGGGTCAGGGCCGGAAACCTGCGGCAGCGCGCGAAACGCGCCGCCGTCATGGCTACACGCGTTTGTTGAATTTTCAAATGCGTCCAATTTTGTTGCAGTGTCGTGCCGCCCGAAAGAAACCCGGGGAATCATGCTGTTTACGTTTCATCGTCGTTGTTGCGTGCACTTGCGGCAAGGAGGATCCGGACACCAATGTCCGCCAAGATCCTCCTCACTTCCCGTCTTCTCTCGTTCGCCCGTGGGGTGGGCCGCCCTCCTCCCGTGTCTCCCTGGCCTCCCCAGCCGCCATTCCAACAATGTTTTTGTTGGTCGCGTCGGGTTATAACTTGTTACAGGGGCTTATAACGTTCATCAAACAAGCATACAACATGATGCAACGAAGTTATGGCACGCAAAACAACGTAAGCCGAGACATAATGTGAAAAACATAATTGTAACCCGACCGCATACGATACAAACGTTATAGGGTATGGATCATTTCAAAATGCAGTCCGGTTCAAAATCCGCGAGCACGCTGGTTTGGCTTGAACAAGTTATCTAGGAAGTTATTTTGGCGCCAGAAAAACTTCGTTTTATCTAAATAAATCGAATGTTACAAATTGCTAGCCTCGTTACCGATCCAATAACCAACCATATTGGAAGGATTCGCCACTGGTCCTAAAAAACCTACATTACCGTTGCTATTTACACGTCTATATAAGCCGCCGGGGGAGCTTCAACCGTGTCTTGGTTGAAGGTCCGCGGCTCTTCGGGCTTTCGTGTGGGATCTCGTGGGCGGCATCCCGAGGCATATTGGGGGGCAAATCTGGAGCCTCGGGTTTGCTGCTCTGGAAGTTTTTTATACATGATAATGGTGGTGATGGTTATGTTGATGATATTGGTGATGACGGCGGTGATGATGACGAGGGTGATGATGAACAACTACCAAGAAGGCGAAGGTGATGCTGCTGATGATGGTAAGGTTGATGGCGTGCGCTGGAGATGGCGATGTTTTCTCGCTGCCGTCACCTAAGCTGAGTTGGGCAGGCGGCGGTGTTCGCGAGCGACTTTGACCCACCCAGCCAATTTCTCCACGCGTGCCTCGAGCCCGTCACTTGCCCCTTCGCCCACGGATTCAACCTCGGTCGCGCTGCCGTCGGCGGGCGGAGGAAGAGGCCTGCGAGACTTCACGGGACGAGGGGCGCCGCATGATGCAACCGACTCCCTCGCGGCTTCGTGCTCGGCGTCCCCGGCGGCTTAGTCGGCAGACTCGTCCTTGTCAGCGGCTGCGGCGGCTTGGTCGGCGACGTCGTCCTTGTCCGCGGCTGCAGCGTCGTGGTCGGCGACTTTGTCCGAGGCGACCTGGGCCCCGGCTGTTTGGTCAGGGGTCTGGTCCTCAGCGACCCTGTCGGTCTGGTTGGCGACGACCTGGCCCTCGGCGGCTTGGCCCGCGGCTCGGTCCTCAGCGACCTTGTCTCCAGCGGCTTGGTCAGCGGCTCGGACGGCGACGACCTGGCCCTCGGCGGCTTGGCCAGCGGCCCGCAGGTCCTCGGCGGCCCTGATCGGGCCGGTCTGGTCATCGGCGGCTGCGTCGGCTTGGTCGGCGACGACCTGGCCCGCGGCGCCCCCGGCAGAGTCGGCGCCGCGTGGACAGCGCGGCCGCAACAACGGACGCGACGCGCCGCGCGCGCTCACATGCCGAATGGGCGGGAGAAACCGAGGCGGCATCCCGACCCTGAAACGGCAGCGCCATGACAGCATCAAATAATGATGATGGCAGTATTTGCTGTTGGTGTTGGCATTGTTTGTTGGTGTTGGCACTGCTTGTTGGTGATTGTTATGGTGAATGGAATTGTTGGTGATGATGTCAATTGTTGTTGGTGGCGTTGTGTGTTGTTGATGACACTGTGTGTTGTTGATTGTGCTATGGTTTTGCTGATGGAGATGTTTGTTGTTGGTTGGTATGGTGAGTGTTATGATGGTGATGGTTGTGCCGATCATTACGACAGTGGTTATGAGGATGCTGGATATGGTGATGTTGGTGATGATGATGGTTGCGATGATGCACCGCGATATGAGTCGTTGATTGCGTTTGGATCACACGCGGCACCGATGACGAAGATGCGATTCCAGCATTAGGCTCGCGCAACAACGATGGCGCGATTACGCCGCCAACCTCTGCAAAGCAAACGCTTCCAACTGCATCGGGCGCGCGCGCGATGCAGACCTCTGCGCCCTTCTTCATCCAAGCCGACGGGCCGAGCAACGCGCAGGCGCGCGCGAAGACAACGCATTCGGGGCGGGCTCATGTTGCGCGCGCGAAACCCAAGGAAAAACCCACGCGCAGAAGGCCATGCTCTCGCCATTGCAGGGCCACCCTTTCAGAGTTCACCCGCCGGCGACTTGCGCCTTGACCGATCTCTGCAAATCGCTTGCAAGAACGGCGAGTGGGCTCTCGTTAAACGAACAGCCGCGCGCGCGCCCCATCACTTTGCGACGGCGCCCATGGCCAAACCAAGACGACAGAACGCGCAAGCGAAGCCCTCTCGGGCGCGTGCTTTCGCAGATAAATCTTCCGTTTGACGGACCTCGGGTAGATGCTCTTGAACAGGTCACGACGCGCCCGCATGGCGCTCTGCAGCGTTGGCGCGTCGGACAGGTCGCCCCTCTGACGCCGGCGTGATCCGATGCACGCAAAACAACCCAATGCCCGCTGCAACCTTGGGACGCACCGCGGTGCCACGACAGTGTCGACGAACAGCCCCGCCACAACTGCAGCATAGAGCGCCTCTGCTGCAAACCCTTCCAGGTGCTTGCCAGGCGCCGCAGCGATGCGGTCAGCTAAAAAACTGCGCCCCAAACTCTTCGTGATTTTTTTTTCTGAGAAGTGATTTGGCTGCGCCATGCATCCATGTCGCGCTTGGTGATACCGCGTAAGCAGATCAGGTCCACGAGCCCGTTGGTCTCGCAGTGCGCCACCCCCCGACGCGGGGCCCGCGCGCATCCAGTCAGGGTGCTCACGCCATGGCGGCCGCAGCGCGGTTCTCAGGAGGTTGTCCCACAGCGCGCCCTCGGGGTCCCGCTTGACACCCGTGCTCTGCCGCAGAAATGCGAGGCACCCTGCGCCATGTGCGCGCGCCGCAACGCATCTGGCCAGCTCGCGCAAGCTTTCGGGTGCACGCGGGTCCATGCGCTCGTACTCTGCACCATCGACGCGGACGAGATAGGCGCGGTGAAATGGACACCGCCGCCCCGATGCATAGCGACGCCATCCGCGCGGCACGCTGCCGTGGAAACTACGTGGTTGAAGGCCTTCGCATGCTGCTCCCAATCGGCGACGAGCACCGACGGCCGAGCGGAAAACCACATGCATTCACTATTACATTCCAAACCCATGCAAATCACATACTCTAGTAGCGAACGGGTAATTGTTCAAACAAGGCTTGAATCTGCCACCTTGATTGTTGTCTTGCTTTCTGATCCTCGCGCAAGCGAACGGCATCCAAGCAACATCTCCTTTCCTGAACCAAGCAATATATCGCAATCGAAAACAGTTTACGCGTTGCTAGACCGACCATCGTCAAGACGCCGTTCGTTCCCTGGCTTGGCCTCGTCCAAATACAATGCGACGCCCACCGTCTCTGGAACGGCAAACTGCACGACGCTGCGGAGGAAGCGGGGGCAAAAAAAAACCTCCTGACACATAGCACACGCAATGCAAAAGAGCAGCTGGGCAAACGTGATCCACCGCAAGCGCGCCACCAGGCCCCGAGATCGACGCGTTCGTGCTAACGTTGCCGCAGGGCGCGCGTGCGCCCCCAATGGCGCGGGGCAAACTACGCGATTCTCTGCGCGCCCATTGTGCGCGATGGGCGTCCGATGGAACCGCGCCTGCCATAGCCTGGGTCATCGCTTGAGCAGCACATCCGCTCGCAGCCGCCGCGGCTGCATGCGTCTCGAACGCAGCGCCGGATGTCTTCGTCGCGCCAGGCGCTGGGTTCTTGCGCAATGAAACGCTGCACTGAAAGCGGGTCGTGGTACATCTGGGCCAACATCTGTTAACGGGATGATGGATATGGATGCGATCGTTAGCCATGCGCGCCGCCTGGGCATAAAATAAAACTAAACATCCAGACAAGCATGTGTGACTGGGCATGATTATGGTTGGTGGGTCTGACTATGAGTGGCCGAATTCTGAGTGGGTCTGGTTCTGCGTAGTAGAATGCGCATGTAGGGTCTACGTGGGCGATCCTGGCTTCGAGGATATCTGGTGTGGCTTCGAGCGTTTCCATGGGTCTGGTTTCCCCCGCATCCTGAGAGGGGTTCTTGTTTTTCTAGAGTTCCCTCTCCTCCTCCTTATGCGCCGACCCCTTCTCCCTGGCACATAATCAAACATACCAGTACGTTCCATACCAATGTTTTGCCCATCTACCATGCCACACCCACCATAACCACACCATGCCACACCTACCACCTCTACCATACCAAGCCCACCGCGCTAGACCACACTCAC